GTGTGTGTGTGTGTGTGAGAGAGAGAGAGAGAGAGAGAGAGAGAGAGAGAGAGAGAGAGAGAGAGAAGCGAGCCGAGTACGTAAATACATTTAGACGCAATTCCGTCTTCAAATGGTTTTCGCGAGAGAGGCAACCGCGTGTATAATGCGTCGTACGTGTTTAACGTCTTTCTATCCGTTCCGCATTTTTAGCACATTTTTTATAACTCTGTAAATATGAGGAAGTCTCGGGGAACAATATCGACGGCGACGAGTGATCATGGAGTACTCTCGTAGCCGCAGTCATTCCGGTAACGATACCTCCGTCGTCTCATGAAGGTTCTCCTATCGACTTCGATGCAGGTGTCATTTACTCACTCACTTTGCTTCCTTTCTTCCTTCACTCGCGCCTGCGAAGTTAAGGCATGCCGAAATCGACCGGCTCGTCGATCTTGCGTATCATTAATCACAGAGTGTTATTCACAACAAACGACGACAACGTGCGTTCTTGATTAAGAAAGCAAGCAAAGTATAGCTGCGGGGGCGTGCGCGTGTATGTGTGCTCCGGTTGCGGGTGCGGGGTTACAAACATATATACATATACATGTCAGTAGAAACTTGATGAGCTTTTTATTATCACGTTTGGATATACAAAGTAGGCTAGTGGCTGGTTAGTTCTTCTATAGGACAGGTTGGGCGTTTAGGCTTCTTCGCGAGAAAAGACTGAGACAACTCACTGACACGCTACCTTCTCGCCTCGTCTAATTCCGCCCTCGATTCCTGCTTTAATTAACGTTCTATCTTGAACGAGGATGAATTATCTACCGATGTGTCACAGAGCGCGCGCGCGCGCGGTTCTTCTGCTGCTCGATTTCCTAGGTTTCCGTTATTTCTCCGCGAGTCGCCTTCGAAGCACCTCAGTTGTACGATACTGATTACTCCCTTGTATTATTCTACTTACAGTCACGTCAGGGGTACAATTCTTTCCTCTCGTGGAAATAGAAAGGTTTCCCGATGTCGCGTTTCAGCCTCGAGAAGTAAGGTTGACTTCGTCAGAGCTTTGAAATATAAATCTTGGGGAGTATAAGGCGCTGAGAAAGAGAGAAACATCAAGGAAGAAGAGGGCAAAAAAAAGGAAGAGAAAAGAAGAGAAAAGAAGGGAAAAGAGAAAAGAAAGAAGAAAGAAAAAAGATATAGGAAGAAGGAAAAAGGTAAAAGGAAGAGAAAAAGAAGAAAAAAAGAATATATGAAAGACAAAGAAGAGAGGGAAGAGAAAAGAAAAAAGTAGAGAAAGGAAGAAAAAGAAAGAACAAGAGAAGAAAAGAGATAGAAGAAGAAAAGAAAAAGAAGAGAAAGGAAGAGAAAAAGAGAAGGGGAAAAGAAATAGAAAGAAAGGAAAGAGAAGAGAAAGGAAAATTTAACTTCGTCAACGTGGTTAAATTCTGAGGATCGCGATCTTCCGTGAATTGAACCTAGGTAGATTTCTTCCTACGCGTTACCTTTGTCATACGGACATACCGGCGCGATCACCTCCGTTAACATCGTTTTTCTCTCTACAGTAAGGCGTATACTCTTGAACTACGAGTATCGAACACCAATAATCGCCTATCTAGCTACGCAGCTGGCTCTAGCCCACGCGTCTCGTGGCCTTCGCGCTTCTAAAGTAGTTGTGGGGTTCATTAACAGCGTCTACTCTCGAGGATTCGTTTACAGCCGACACGTGTGTGCTGGCGTCTACGAGACCCGCCGTTGCGCGAGTCGCCGTGATTAATTAATTAACTTGGCGTAGATCCGATACACAAGGGCGCGCGTGTATATATATATATATATATATATATATATATATATATATATATATATACAATAAGGGCGCGCGTAGGGTTCTCAGAAGCGTAGGACGAAAAGCGACCTGTCCGGCGTACGTTCAGTGAACCCACCTCTGCAGTGGCCGAAGGCCTGCGTGACCACGTCGGCTTGGTGGCGACACGCGTACAGCCGTAGCTCGCATTCGTTGTCGTAGGTCTGCCCGTCGCTGCCGCAGACCGGCACGGCCGGTATGTCTGCAGGACAGGAGGACGGGCAGACGCAGTGCGCGTTGCCGATCTCCGAGCAGTGGCCGCCCGAGTAGCATTCCAGCTCGTTGCAGGACGTCGGAATGGGCGGTATCGTATCGGCTGCGAGCAAAACGGTTAGCGTCGCGTTAATAAAATCACGCTCGATCGTATCGTGGTCGTGGTCGTCGTCGTCGTCGTTGTCGTTGTCGTTGTTATTATGGAGGAAGATGTGACGGCACGAACGATCGTATGCGCGACACGCCAGGGTGTTATCGCTCGCGGGAATTCGCGTGCCATCCAAGACGGCGCGTTGACTCCTCTCAGGAGTTTGCTAAATTAAAGATACACTTTAGCCAACGTGGAACAGTAAATAATTATGAGGACCGAAAACTCTAGCAAGCTTCGTTTCTAAAGGTATTATATGAATAGTAAAAGAGGGATGATGAAACGTAATATTACACTGAACGAGAAAATACCAAGAAATAAAAAGAATTTTTTCAGTGGATACTAATAACATATTTTCCTATATTCTTCAATATACATATTTCTAAACTGAGATATTTTTTTTACAAATTTTTACACCAAGAAAATATTTTTTTTCAAATTTTTACACTAAAAGATTTCTTTTCAAATGAAGAAGTATACATTTTCTTAAGACCACAAAAAAATTTTTGTGTTAAATTTAACACATTTCACACGCTCAATTTATCCACTCGAATTTTTGTGTTAACACAAATATATGAACAAAAACACAATATATCTGCACATTTTATATATGAAATATATCACCAAGAATGTACATGTTACATATAAATTATTGTTATTTTAACAGAAATTGTAAATATAAAAATATAACAGAATATTAAAAATTTAACAGAAAAATTTCTGTACGAATAGGTTCTAACACAAATACAAAATGTTTTTTACTGCCTAGCTTTTTATGAAGGAAATTATTAGTTTTATTTAAATAAAAGAATTTAGATTTAAGTAAATATGTTATTAGTGTCCGCTGAATAAATATGTTTTATTCTTTTAGATATTTTTTGCTGAGGTAGAATATTCTAGTCTATTCGATAATGGACATAATCTTATGGAAGTAATCTTAAAGAAGCTTAAGCATCGGCGTGATTACCGGTGAAACTGTAACGTCACAATATCCGGGGAATGTAGAAAACACGGAGTGTCACGGAACGACGTAAATTCGGGGTGTGATTCGAAGGTTGTAGTCGCGCGACGAAGAATCTCTCTTTCGCGCGAGTCGCGCTATTAAATTGACAGTCGGTTATTCTTACGCATAATACCTGAATAGCATCCGGTAGGCGTGAGTATCTTGTTGTGGTCGTTGCAGATCGTGCATTTTTGCCCCTGAATGTCGGGCTTGCAGACGCAACGTCCCGTCATCTGCTCGCAGTCCTCTCTGACGGAGCCAAACAGCGAGCAGCCGCATGCTGTGGTCAGAGAAAGAAAAAGACGATTTATATCGGCTCCATATTAGCTTTATGTCAAATTTATGTTAGCTTCTCGTGTAACGAAGAATGCTGTAATCGTTCGCGCTATCAGATACGGAATTATTGTTACTAATGAAAGAGATATACTAAAATATATACTTATTCTAGAATCAGAATAATTTCTTCTTAGGGAAGAAATTATATTAATTAATTTCTCTTATTAAATATATTTTTCTCAGGTTTTTATACTTTATGACCCAAAGTCATTAACCCTCCGTGTGATTCATTGGTCATTTCTAGGCAGTATCACCTTTCTCTCCATGTATGAACAAAACAAATCTGCACAAAATTTTATTTTTTTTATTATTTAAGGTCTCTGTTTTCTGTTCAAAATGTGTTGTGCCTTCAATATTTGTGATTCCTTTCTTGAAAAATATAAAGCACAAAGTTATTGATTGTTTCTAAAATAATCCACGAGTCACATAGGGGGTTAACAATGCATCCTGTAACACACATTCTCATTAGATCATGTTCTAAATAGAGTCGCATTAATTCTAATCCTAATCTTACGTATGCATCCCTGATGACCCTCGCTAATCTTCGGCAGTCCCCAGTAACCCGGCATACACCTATCGCACTTGAGACCACCCACGCCCGGCCTGCATTCGCATTGACCGGTTTCGGGGTTGCAGGTGTCGGACACGCTGCCAAGCCTATTGCAGTTGCACAAGCTCGGACAGCCGGCGTTGTCCGGGCCGAGAGCGGCGGTCTTTCCATCCGGGCAGCAGCCGTGCCACGAGTCCGTGCACTTTACCACTTGGATTCCTTGGACTGGAAAAGCGGTCATTGTCAGCGCGAATCGCGTGAAAGCTCGCGCGACGTAACAGGAAAATACGTAAATCCTCCAGCGCGATCTCCTCGAGATCGGAACGGCTGGCGTCTCGAAAAATCAAGACGCCTTTGACACCGATTCTCGTGGAGAATCTCGCTCAATAGCAGACACATCTCGCGCCGAGAACACCTCGTGTTAGTCGTCGGATATTTGAGCGCGCGGGTTAACGTTAATATCACTGTCCGACAAAATTTGACTTCTTTTTCCTGCGGTGATCGCAGCTACTATTTTTTAGTAAATTCGAGGTCGCTAAATCCAAATCCGCCAGCAAAAAATGCCCATCACGTCAGGTTTTTGAGATAAATCCAATAATATGGGTAAAAAACTGCGTTTTTGTCATATTTCCTAATTTCTTGTAGCCAAACAAAATTTTATTTTTCAATTTCATTGACGCTACTTTAAAGTACTATTCTTCATTTTTAAAATGAATTTTTATTTTTTACTGTGCGATTTTTTCTCACCGAGTTATAAACGTTTTCCAAAATGTAAAATTTTACACTTTTATAAATACTAACTTTTATGTTCCTCCGTTAAAATTTATCAATTTATTCCACCAAACGTTCAGACCTTGGTGTTCAGACCAGAACACCAAGACGTTCAGTCTGCCATTTTGAATTTCGTCATTTTGAGTTCAAATTCGTAAGCAGCGACTCCAAAAACCCCGAGTATTGACTTTGATCCGAATCGAGTCACTTTTCTTATTTCGGTCCGCCATATTGGATCTGCCATTTTGAATTTTGAAATTTTGAATTCAGATTCGGTATCAACGATCCCGAAAACCCATTTTTATACAAATCCATCTACTTTCCAGTTTCAATCAGTCAATTTGGATCCGACATCATTCACATTTTGGAAAACGTTTATAAGTCTATGAAAAAAAATCGTACAATAAAAAATAAAAATACATTTTACAGGTGAAAAATAGCACTTTAAACTGGCGTCAATGAAATTAAAAAATAAAATTTCGTTTGATAACAAAAAATTGGTAAATATGGTAAAAAACGCAGTTTTTTACCTATATTACTCGATTTATCTAAAAAACTTGACGTGATGGGAATTTTTACTGACAGATTTGGCTTCAGCGACCTCGAGTTTACTAAGAAATATTGGCCTTTGTCGCCGCAGGTTTTTTTGTTGAACTGTGTATCCGATCCGTTGTATTACGACTGAAAGTATCAGCTCGCTAACCTTTCTTACAGCAACGAGCGAATCGCGTCGTCTGATGGCAGTAACTATTGCTAGGACAGTCTTTGCGTTCTGGTCCGCTACCACAGTCGTATTCTTTGCCCTCGACGTCTACTAACGGAGGGTCGCCGTTGCAAGGCTTCACTTCCATGCCTGCACAGATGCCGTGATGTAAAGAGGACACACTCGTTGAATCGTTCGTGTCGCCGTCGCGATAAACGATCAATGCGCTGTTACGACTATTACACGCGATCTGATACATTCGTTTCACCCTTTCAGCGCGAATTACTCGTTAAAATGTATCGTGACGAGTCGCGCATCATTGAACCGTGTATCGCTCGCGAACAGATGAAATATCTTTATTAGGGCTCGCTCAACGCCGTTGCCACAAACGATTAACGTGTGATTACGACTATTTGTTACGAAGTGATTCGTTCGTTTCACGATAATCCGCGCGGCAGAATATACCGCGGCGAGTCGTGCATTATTCCGTGAATGGATGAAATTTTCTTCGAACGTCAGTACGGAAAGCAAGCGGCGATTAGTGCGACCGATTTCATCTACACGGAGAGAATGTCGTAGCTTTTTATTATATATTAAATTCTTTTCAATTTACTACGCTTCATAGTAGTGCAGAACAGACTGTCAGAAGAGTTATTTTCATTTGATTTTGCTAAGGAATTTATGGAAATTTTTTCATACTATATTTCACAATTCCTGAAATATATAAATAGTACATATGAAACGGAATAAATGATAGAATAAATATGAAATATGAAATATTTGATAGAAAATACGAAACGGATAGAATAAATTCAGACTTAATGTTGATACATTCTTTGCTTACTTTGCTTAAAAAAATTCTGTAACAATTTTCAATATACGCGGAAAATGATTTGGTTGAATTAACGTGATAATGAACGAACAAAATACGTTTTGGTCGAAGCAAATAGAACTTCCGACTCTTCTGAACCAACTTTGGTTCTAAGAATTAGAAGTTGTTTTGCTTTAGACAATATTGTACAGTCTTTTTATTATACAATGTGTACGTGAAAGAATTTTATCTCATATCTTTAACAAATCTATCTATCCTCCAAAAATATATTGCGTATGTAGTTTCTGTAAAAAGTCACTAAAAATTAGAAATACACTAATACTTTCGTATAAAAATGTATGATATATATGTACGATGCAGTTGAATAACGACATATTTTTAACATCGTATTTTTATAGTTTATTTATTATATCTCATATTAGTTTTGGTTTCTAAATTTTGTCTCTGAATCACAATAAAACTTTGCATACATTCTTCAGAATATTTAAAGTACACGTATAAAAGGATTAAGATTTTTATCATTATTTTTAATTATCTTTTTCTTTACTAAAAATAATAACATCATATATTTTTATAACAGTACGGTTTAAATTGCTTCCAAACAGGATGACATTAAATGACATATTAATGACGTGTTATTGACGTTAGATATATCATTAATGCGTTAAAATATGACATCGTGTTTGCTCGGCTTAAATACTTCAAAGTGGAATAACTTTTGATTCAGACTCTGAATAACTGTGCAATTGTTTACGATCATATATTTCAGTTTTAGATGCAATTAATTTTATAATTTTTCCAAAAATTTTTACTCTTGAGATATGAGCAATACACCTTTAACCGAAAGGCGTTTGGTTCATTCATTATCTAGTTCAACCAATCTCTTGTCTCTATGTATGTACACAATTCTCTCCGTGTACCGCGTTAGTACCCGACTTCCCGAGGTAGCAGCGTAAGGAAAAGGCGCAGGGTGAAGAAAAAGCATTCAAAGGAGAAACGAGTCATAAGAACGAGTTAGTCTAAAGAGCACGTAACGTCCGTCTATCGCGCGTGGATCGATCGGGTCTCTCCCGGCGGCGACTCTCTTTCGACGACGCTTTCCAACCTTGACAGAGTTCGAGGGGCCTGAGTCGCAGCTCCTGCTGCCGCTGGCAGGCCTCCATCTTCATGGCGCAGAGGGAGGCGTAGATCCTGAGGTCGCTGCCGCATACTGGCCGCATATTCTCCGACGAGATGGAGGCGCAGTCGAACTTGCAGCTGCACCTAGGGAACTTGTCCGGGCCGAGCTCGCAGGTCGCCTCGAAGTCGCAGTGAATGTCCTTGCAGGCCTCGCGCTCTTGCGTGCTGGTCACGTCGGCCACGGTAGTGACAATGCGAGTCACCGCGGGCGTCGACTTGGTCGCTGCGTGTTAGAAGCGGTTGGAGGCTGTTAGAGAGAGGCCCGTCGCGTCGTCGCGCGTTGTTAGGGCGTTAGGCTACGCCAAGTCGTTAATAACGTGCGGTTAATGCGCGGATTAGCGTTAAGGGGGATCCCGTCGAGGAATCTAACAAGCCGCCGTCACCGCCGCCGCCAACGTCGCTGACTCGCGCACTAACTATTTTCGATTAGGCGCCACCGCCACCGCCGTCGCCCTTATCGCGGCAACATCAACTTCCGAAGATTACACCAAGGGCGTGCCTGAGACGTCTGAGCGGCGTCTGGAAGTTCGTGAGCGCGTCTCGCGCCTCCAGCGTTGCGCTCAAAGGAGTTTCGGTCCGCGCCGCGTCAGACGCATTGAACGCGTCTGAGTCGTTCGCGAGACGGCCCTTCACCGTCAACCCTTTCAGGCCCAGCCATCGATCCCGTTTGGGCTACGAATTCTTTTTTCATAAAATAACCTTAGAAGACGCTCCTGAGCAAGAGTTTTACGGCTAGAATGAAACGAATCGTCGAGAAGTGCGATTTTCTGAATATTCTGTACATTCGCCGACGCAAAGGTTGCCCGACTTTCTGTTATAAGTTTAGGAACCTATCTTGCGAAATGGAAAAGTTTAAGAGAATAAATGACAAGCTTCCTAAATATACAAAAAGAAAAAATTAAGCAATCTTTCTATCGATGAGTGTATATAATTATGTATATTTAAGTTTGAACACATAAAAGCATCAACCTTGCACTCTAAGATAACGTCGATAAACAACTGAGAAAATAAAATTTGCTTATTTCTTTTTTGAAAACTTTGCACAGTCTCGAGCGTCAACGATTCTGCTCGATTGGTTTCTTTGACGGGAAAATGATATCGGAATCATTACTTTGCCAATGTAAAAAATACATTTGGAGAGGAACCAAATAATTGGGCACGCTGGACGTTAAGAGGCTAATTCCTCGTATCCTGTCGCGTGTAATATCGCGCGCAATATCACGAGACCCATGGCTGATATCGGAGAGATTGTGTTTCCGCGGTTGGGACGTTTCGCGTGTTTTACCACCGCGTGGCGACGGTCGAGCGTTCGTTAACCGCGGAGCGTTCCTCGCGGAACGAAAATGTCACGGGGGATGCGCGACGAGAGAGAGGAAGAGAAAGGGGGATAGAGATAGATAGAGGTCGGTGGTTAGGTGGGTAGGTGTAATTTCAGAAACATACTCAGTGCCGCCACGGCGAATCTGTCGCCGCAGTCTCCGTAAAACGTGACGTGCAACGCCGGCAACTTGGGGTCCCTGCCGCAGGCCGCACGCTGCAGCTCGCACTCGGACTGGTAAGTTTTCACGTCGCTACCGCAAACGAGCTCTCCGCTGCTCTCCGGGCAGACTTTCGGGCACACGCATACGCCCGCCACGCAGTGCGCCTCGTGCTCGCACTCCACCCTCGCGCACAGTTCTGCAAAATATTCGGTCCCCCGTGCTTACGCGGCGTCTTTGAATATAAATCACCGTCGCGCACCGAGCTCCGCGACTCTCCAAAATATTGACGAGCGCCTTTCCCAAGAGAGGAAACTCGGCGGTGGGTGATTCTCCAAATAAAGAACAATGGAGGAAGAAAGTGGAGAAAATAAGAGAAAAAGAAATGATGAGGCACGAGTTGAAGTATTCTATTAGGCATTTCCGAGATTAGAAGACTCGATTTGTTTAGTTGAGCTCGAGAAACTGTATGTATGTATTGAAAAAAGAATTATAAGTGGCCCAGATGGACGGGCATATATGTAAATTTGGGAGCAACTTTACGATTTGTAAAGGTTGCATCTTTTATGAGTAGTTGATATAACACTTCTACACTTGTCACATGGAATGACGAAGGAAAAATACGGAAGAAAAATGATCAAAATTTGCTCAAAACAATATCTCAGGTAAAATCTACACGGAGAGAATATTATAGGTCTTATTTTTTATATAAATTTTTTTCAATTTTGATATATATTCCTAGTAGTACAGGGGGATAGATTATCAAGAAGATTTATCTTTCTAAGGAATATAGCGAATTTCGCTAGAAATATAGTAAATCTTTTGATAGCATATTTTAGTTTCTAAAATATCAGTAGTACATATAAAATGGAAAGATAGTCGATTATTGCAGGATGTCGATCTATTTCTCGGTTACAAAATTCTACAATAATTTTCACTATAAAATTCTCTCTATGGGAGTGTAACTTTAAAGTTTGATCTACAATGCGTTCTTTGCTTCCTGCTTCTTTCTAACAGTTAATTCAATACAGTATGTTTTTGCCTTCTAAATGTAACTAAAAAAGGTTGTAGAGTTTGCATAATCTTTTTGTCTCACGTCATAATAATCATGAAAGTCTGTCTGGGGATTAAAAGAACGAGTTGAAAAGAAGAGAGTTATTTCATTAATCGGTTCTATCTGTGGAAGGTTCGATTAGTCGTGGACTCGGAAAGTATCGAATTACGTCTGTGGCAAAAGGAATGGAAAGGAATAATTCTACTTTCGCTCGATGAGATCGTGTCGATGAGATTGTTACAAGGCGCATGCAGCGCACGCTGCTTACCGCAATCACCCACGTAGCTAATGGTGATGAGGGTCTGGCTCATGCACGACGCCTTCTTCAAAGCGCACTCGTTGTCGTAGGTCACTCCGTCGGACCCGCAAATCTTCTCGGTTTGCTCCTTTATCCCGCCGGTCTCTTTCACCTAAGCACAGATACAAATTTATTTAACAACTGTTTATATCTGACATTACTGTTCGTATATTATAATAACTGATCATGTCATTATTTAATTTTTCGTTTCTTATCTCGTGTCAATTCTCATTGTCGCGACATAAACGATATAAGAACGCAAACACAATTTTTTAAAGTATCAAAGGATTCTGAAAAGAGTAAAAATTGAGTAAAATTTGAAGAAAATTGTAAAAATTTGTAAATTAATAGGAATATGTATTTTTGTTATAGTACGTCTATTAACATTTAACAATAATTAATTTTAGATCAACAACAATTCAGAACAATTTTAAGTCAACAATTAATTTCAGATAATTTCTTTCAAGATCAGAATGATTATTGTTGATATACAATTCTTTTGCAAAACAGAACTAAAGTGGAATGTCAATATTCATCATAAAATCTAATCTTTTACACCAAGAAATTGTTAAATATGTTTAAAAGACATAATAAAAAATTCACATACTCCTATTAACTTACAATTTTTTACAACTCTTCAAATTTTATTTAATCTTTACTGCTGCTAAGTTCCTGTGATTTTTTAAGTAGAAATGTTTCCCTTATTAAGGAATATGATCCATACTATATCCCGTTCTTACGTATCCTCTCGCGTGTAATGAGGACCTCGTGGCGGAAGTACGAATGAAACGAGACTGCGTATTCGCGCGCAACTGCAGCTACGAGGAGGTGCGAAAAATAAAAAAGCAAAGGAGATTTAAAAGTAAAAGTTAAAAGTGGAGGAAAGGGGGAGAGACATACAGAGAAAGAGGGAAAGCCACGGACCCTGCGTCTCTCACTTGTTGCGCGTTACGGGGGTGCCAGGAAACGCATGGTATATTTGACGGACAGTGATGCGGGGTCAGACAGAGGGCGGTGGGACGAGTACGTGGGTGCAATAACACAGGAAAGAGCAAAACTTAATTAGCTTGGCCGTCATATTCGCGGCTCCTCTTGTTTGCTTATTACATGCGCGTTTCATGCACTTGCCACCCTTCGCCGCCATGGTTACGTCGCGCAGCTGTGCCGGATGTCCCGACATGAGAAAGAAAGAGAGAGAGAAATGCTTAACAACGCTTGACGAATTTCCTGACAAATTTGATTATAACTTTCTAATTCCTTCATCCTCCCTTTTTGTCGAAAGCACAGCGCGTTGATCAGAGAGCAAACCGGATTTATTACAGAAGATAATCTGTCACATGGAATTTTTCATGTGTTCCTTGTGTACTTTGATGCATAGAATACGATTCAGAATTTTTTTATTATTAGGGTAAACTCGGATATGATGGCCATACGGGAAAGATGGCCATAGGCTTAATTTCTTTAATAGTTGCAAAACATTGCGTTTGTGTAATCAGTCACAAAGATAATCGATATTTATCGTAGTGTATATGCGTACATTTTTCGAAATAGCGAGATTATGAATATTATACTATATTTTTATTTTCGACTACCTATAAAATTTCTTATGTATCCACTAAAACTTGCTGTAACGTCGAATAAATTACAGTTAAGTTATCGCAATCAACGTTAGATACATAAAATAGGTTTGTAAATTGTAATATAACATGCATTTTTATTTTCGTTTTCACTATTTATTTATAAGTACTATTATAATCGTCTTTCACTCACATTTTGGGTAAGATGGCCTACTATCATTCTAACATTTATAAAACAAAAGCCGTTATATTTCAAAAATTACTTTCAATATTACAGTAATTAAATTTTATGTGCAATATGTTTTGATCAAAAATTGGATTTAGAATTTAAGTTTTGTAATAGAGGTTTCTGTTTTATATGTATATTATATTTTTCAAATAATATATATTAAATATTCTATATTAAAATGAATATGTCAAATTATGTTTTTTTCATTATTTCATAAAATAATAGATGCAGAATCTTGAACATTAAATATGTATGGGTCATCTATTCCTTATGGCCATTTTGTTTTAAACATTTAGGTAAGATGGCCAATGCTCATGTTTTGATATTTTTGTAATAAATAATTTCATTGAAGTATTTTTCTTTTAACTCTGATGGTATTATGTACTGTAGGCTTCAGTGAAGTAATGTTACGCTATTAAGAAATAACAATAAGAAATGTATCTTTTTTGCATTTTAAAAAAGTATGGCCATCTTAGAAGTTTTTCTGTCTTAGTTATTTAATATATTGTATATGTGGGACATTTTCTACGTAGTCGCAATTTTCGATTTAATTCTGAACTTTTGATATTGAAGTACTATTAATATTAAATATCTTTGGAATACTTCTGAGTTGAAGTGGCATTTATTGACAGACAAACTGCGACAGTATCATATTACTTCCCTCCCTGATGAAGCGAACTGAAATGTTCATGAAACGTTAGAAACAAATCCACAAGAAATGTGACTCCAACCCGAAAGCCATCCTCAGAATTTCTTCATACCGCGAAAGTCTCAAATATTATATAAATATATTAAATATTACTTATTATATATGATGTATGTGTATATATATATATATATATATATATATATATATATATATATATTATATTATATAATGTAATATTATATAATATAAAATATTAAATATTGAACATCTTCCATTTAAATAATATATTTGTCTATAAAAATTCATTAAGATCAACGACTTTTATTCAGTTATATTTTTTTCAATTATATGCACAAAGTATGATAGAAATTTATATATTTCTCATCTTTAAAAAAGACACAAGTCAAACACAGTAAAAAATCATTAACTTCTACATTTTGAATTAGATAAGCCATGTTCGTGTACGTATAAAGGAAATCAATATTAATTAGAAAGAAATTAATTTTTTAAGTATTTATAGTGTAATTTAATTTCTTAGTGTTCGCAGAAAAGTTAAGTAATAAAATATTAAATTCCTTTTGATTTACTTAAACCACATTAAAAAAAAAAACGTTTTGATCGTCCAGATATAACTCTATCGCTGTTTATTGCTGTTTTTATCTACTAGAAAATTGTCTCTGGTAAAATTAGAATATAGTTCTAACAATGTCTGTAAACAAATTTTAGTAGATGTGAGGATTATATATTTATTTGTTTTTCGTCACCGGTCTTTTATGTTTATCACACAGTAAATTTTTAAAAAGTATGACTGATTTTAATCTGGATGGGCGCCATAGAGAGACTTTCTTGTCGAATTTCACAAATAGTTCAGATATAAATTCACAAATAGTTCAGATATAAATTCACAAATAGTTCAGATATAAATTCTATCTCTGTCATCTATATTAAAATACAAAATATATCGCGGCGTTTGCTAGTCGTTTATTCATCTTAGTTAATTTCTCGCATTTAAATAACTTTTGCTATATGGCTATAAGACTATTTTTTTAAGTACATTTTTTAAAATTATTACATATTTTTTAACTCATAACAAGTACAAATTACATATATATTTTGTATTTTATTTTATTTTATTTTATTGTATTTTATTTTATTTTACAAGATTCTTTAAAAAAGAGCAAAAAAGTAAAAAGAAATCTGTTAGAGAAAAGAAGAACAGTTTTAGAAGTATCGAGTAATCATTTTCAATTCACCACTGGAGGTTAATCACATATTCATATCACTTGCAAACCTTAATAGAAAAAATCTGTTTGCATTTTTAATTTAGAAAATATTGTATAAATCACATAATTTGATTCATGTGTGTACATGTGTGTGTGTGTGTGTGTGTGTGTGTGTGTAACAAAAAAGTTTTATCCATAAACCAATATGGTCGGCGATCGATTATCGAATTTAGCCGGCAACGAGTCGGTGATTATTACATGTTTAAAATGTGCGCTCAACTAGCGATTAATTATTGGGCGGTAGCGATTGCCGGTATAATTAATAACTTTCGTCTTCCGCGTCCGGTATAACAACGCAAACGGTTACGCAAATAGACGCGCACATGCGCGTAGAACGAGAGTCGACGTCGACGAGATGGTCGTTTTCGTTTTGTTTCCAATTGGAACTTGTGGGCGCACGGACGACTTCGATCGTTTCGAGGAGCAGGCAGAGAAGAAGCAGGGGCTCGGTGGAGATCAAGGAGAGGAGGACGGTTATTATAGCGGCCGTTCGAGACGCAGCACAGCCGCATCCGGCATGCGGGCGCCGCTGCGGCGAAGTTCCGCGAGAGTCCGCACGATTTAGTCGCTTCCGCGTTAAGTTTAATCGACGTCAGTCAGCTCATTTCCCGAGGTTAATCCGTGTGCACGCGCGAGCCCGTGGTTCGTGTTTCATTAAGAGGATTATCGTATACGTCCCGCCGCTGCGTTTCGCGCGACGTTACCGTCCTGAATTGAGAATAAAAGCGTCGGCTTAAAGCGCCAGCTTAAAGAGCCATCGCCCTGCGCGCGGTTTCCGGCGCCCAAGTGACTCCGGGAGACGGGGTGATTTTTGCTGTGGATTGCTTTTTGCCATAAAGACATAAAACTTTTAATTTTTTTACTGTAACTATGTTATATATTAATGTATTTAATGCAATGGAAGTAAAAGGAATTGTACCTTCGATCTGATCGATTACGTTCTCGGTGCACTACACTGAGGAAAAAATTAAAATCAACAAATATTTCTTTGATGGGTGCCATTAACAATATTTACCTTAAATCTAAATTCTCTTTATTTAAATCAAATATTGTTTGCTTGATTTAAGTAAATAATATTTGGCTTAAATAAAGAGAATTTAAATTTAAATAAATATGTTAATGGCACCCACACCTAAGAAATATTTGTCGATTTTAAGGTAATATTTTCTTCAATTTACAGATTCGGATTGCACACACATGAGTAGCCGAGTGAGCGCGCGAGTAACGCGAAAAGCGAAATGTTTGGTGTAAGTTTTCGCCGCGCTGAAAATTGAGAGTAATCTGCCGCGGTGGTTGCGATCGGGAGGTAGGTTGTTGAAATAATTTCAATGGCTTTCGCTCGTCTCCCACGTAATTGGCTCCGTGTTATCCGGC